TAAGATAAAATATGCTTTGTCCAAGGCTTCTTTAGATTAAGCTGGAGAACATGATAATAACCAACGGTGGTTCCCTAATCATCCTCAACATTTCATGTGATGTTAGCATAGTTGATGTAGGTATTGCAGAAGGGTTTGGATTAAAGCTACATGTGTGATTGTCTTGTTTTGAAGCATGTAAAGTTTGTTATATTTATGAACGTTGTTTTGAGAAAAATAAACATCTTGTACGCACAAGCATTTCATAACCACACGACTCATTTAATATTGATTTAAAAAATAATTTATTTTCATGTGACTCATTGTTTCACTGCAGAGTCAATCACAGTCTTCTTCCTCTTGTAGTGTACAGAAGATCACTACAGACCAACATTTCTCCTACAGCAACTTTTTGAAAAGGCAAATTGTAATAGCCTACAGGCCCATCCATATTGTTGCAAATTACATAATTTCTTTCTTTTTAAAGACTGCATACTATTCCATTGTGCATGTGCGCACGTGCACACACACACACACACACACACACACCACATTTTCTTTATCCATTCATCTTCCCAGGTGCATGTAGGTTGTTTCCATATTTTGGCTATTCTGAATAATGCTGAAATGAACATGGGAGTGCAGATGTCTCTTCAACATACTGATTGTAGGCTCTTTCCTATGGGTATATATCCAGATTTGGAATTGCTGGATTATATGCTAATTATATTTTTGCTTTGATAAGAAACCTCCATTTTTTTTTTCCAAAATGGCTGTACTAATTACATGCCCACTGGCTGTGTACAAGGGTTCCCTTAAATACTGCATGATCTCACTTGTATGTGGAATCTAAGAAAGTCAGACTCATACGATATAGAGTAGAGTGTTGGTTACCAGAGGCTGGGGGAGAAGGGAGATGAAAAGAGGAGAGANCATCACTTCATGCCTGTCAATATGGCTGTGATTAAAAACTCAAAGGTGAGAGTTGGCGAGGACATAGAGCAAAGAGAACCTGCGTACACTGTTGTTGGAGCTGTAATTTGTAAAGTCATTATGCAAAACAGTGTGATCGTTCCTCAAAAAATTAACAACAGACCTACCATAACATCCCAGCAATCCCACTATTGAGTTTATATCTAAAGGAAATAAAATCAGTATGTCATAGAGATAACTGCATTTGCATGTTCTCTGCAGCATTATTCCCAATAGTCAAGATGTGGAAACAACCTGTCTCCATAAATGAATGAATGAATAAATTAAAAGGGGTATATGTGCATATAAAATTGAATATAATTTACCCTTCAAAAAGAAGAAGATCCTACCATTTGCAGCAACATAGATGAAATTTGAGGATATTATGCTAAATGAAATAAGCCAGACCCAGAAAGACAAATACTGCATAATATTAGTTATATGTAGAATCTTGTTAAAAAATCAAACTCACAGTAACAGATAATAGAGTGATGGTGCTAGGGACTGAGATGGGGGAGAAGTGGGCATATTGGTCAAATGGAACAAACTTTCATTATAAGAAAAATAAGCACTGGAGGCCAAATGTACAGCATAATGACTATGATTAATAATAACATTGCATTTGGGATATTTCCTTTGAGAATATATTTCAGTATTCTTACTACAAAAGAATAGTAACTATGTGAAGTGAAGGATATGTTAATTTGCTTGATTGTGCTAATTAACTTACAATGTACACATGTATCAAAATATCAGTCTGTAGGCCTTAAATATACATGATTTTTATTTGTCAATCATACCTCAATAAAGCT